AAGTGATGAGGGAAAATCGGGAACGCAGATTACCGCCTATCAAGGAATTTCAGAGGGATTTCCGTGCTGGAAAAGCGTCCACTAGGTTACGGTAATGTAGATAGCCGACTTTCTACAGCGTTATCTTTCCTCTCCTTCATTTTTTTTTATCAATTCTTCGTGTTTGTGTTGCACAGATGTGCTCAGAAAATCGTGACACAACTGGAGACGTCACCGAGTCCCAGAGGCACGAGCAACGTAACCGGCTCGACTTCTTCGTCGACGGCGAAGTCGTCGACGAAGAGGCCTCAGTCAGCGCCGAAATTGTCGGTGGTCCAGGAGATCCAGAAGTCGAAGAAGGAGAAGGAACGAGAGAAGGAGAAGGAGAAAGCGGAGAAGGCGCGTCAGAAGGAGGAGGAGAAGGCTGAGAAGACTAGGCAGAAGGAGGCGAAGAAACTCGCGAAGGAGGAGAAGAAGAGGGCGAAGAAGGAGGCGAAAGCAAGGCGGAAGGAGGCGGAAGAAGCCTTGATAAGGGAGGAAAAGTAGTCTTCGAGTCGAATAGAGACGACTGGTAGTGGTTCAGAGCGATCGATAAGGTATTCCAAGAGCCTGAACGTGGGATTTTGATCTCATCGCGCTTCGGGACCCGTTCGAGCTGTTTCGCGATCGTCGTTCAAAGAAGAAGGAGAAGAAGAAGAAGAAAATCAAAGGATTCACCGAGCATTTTGTAATTATTAGAATCTAGCTAGTATTCTTCCCTAGACGTGCGTTAACGATCTGTTTGATCCACGGTGATACGTCGATGGTTAGCGTTTCATTCCCGGAGAGAGAGAGGGTCTATCTATCGACTATATTATATCGCTTTAGTTGACGAACAATTAGGATAAGGCATTTTAACGTTTTATAAAGATGAACGAGACGATGACGGTGGTGTTTAGGTAGTTCTTCTCTTCGCGACACAGCTCGAACTGGGGTTCCAATCCTGAGGATGATGCGAACGTATTAGCGGGCGGTAGAAGACGTATTACCTAAGAAAACCTAGAAGCGGCCAAACTTAGTAACCTGTCATATCGAGTTTACGCGGACTAATAAGTACTAATCGGTAGGATGACTCGAGATAAAAGAACAAAAAAAAAAAAGCGTAGCGCTACGTTGCTATATTATTTGATTAATCGCGTAATAATCTTAACAAAAACCCCGCCCTTTATCTTGGACGTTTCCTTTTTCTAGGAACAGTAAACCTCGTGACGTTTTGTCGTTACTTTTTTATAGGATCATCCGTCGTTATCATCGGGACACACACACATAACTGTTGTATCATCATCGTTCGCCCATCGGTTAAACGCGTTAATTGATACGTCGCGACGGTCGTTTTAGCAGTTAACGAGACCTATTTTTCAGACTCTGCTTCACGGACAATACTTTGAGGACGTAGTTTGATTCGCAGCTGATCATAAACCGAATCTCGTCGAGTACTCGAGATTGGCGAGGTTTAAGCGACTTCTTCTCATTAGCGTGCCCAGATCATTCGCGATAAATCCTGTTCCTCCAGTCGATTATTCACACCTAGCCGTCGTTCGTTCAGCTAGGAACAACTCCCTTGTATTTCTAATTCTCTTCATCCCCCCCCCCTCTTCGAATGATTATAAGAGAGAGAAAGAAGCGCGCTGAATTTTTGAGGACAAATCAAATAACAGCTGGAGAAACGAGCGTTTTTTCGAAAACGGCAAGCTGAAACACACGTTTCTTTCTTCTTCGATTATTTCACGCATACACCAGAAAAAAAAACAAAAAAAAAAACACAAAAAAACCAAAGAAAAACCAAAAAAAAAAAACGATAGCCTAAACAATGTAAGGAAGTTCGACTAAATAATAATCGACGAACGCGTGAAATGGGGAGTCCGTTCTACGACGGGGATAGTTTTAACGTAAAAAGAGTTAGAGGAAACCACAAAAGAAAAAAAAAAAACAGAATTATAGTACAATACCGATATAGATAGACGACGAAAGCAGAGTTTTCGAGTGCAGTGCGTGCCTCGTTTATCGACTTCGTGATTTACCACGTAGATGCGTAGCGTTTTACCGATTCGATTACAAAAAAAAACCAAAAAAAAAATCCTCTTCTCTCTCTCGAGGTGCGGCTCGAGAAGCTTAATTAATCGATCGACTACAACATTGCAGACAGAAACTGTTGCCCTTTTTCGCCACTTTTACCCTAGATCACCGCTATTTCAGAGAACCGACCCCTTTGTTTTTTTTTTGCCGAAACCCTTTTATCGAGTTCTAAACACAGGCAATTAATTAATCGTTCTCACGTCGAGCACCCTGTTTGCGTGTGTGTTTGTGAATTTCTGCTGAATTTACCCTAAATTACACTCGATGCAGTATCTTCAATTGCTTCGAATTGAATTTCAAAGAGGCTGAGGCTCGGTGAAAGGGTTGCCGCGCAAAAACGACAAACGGTGACAAAGAGAGAGGAACTGCATACATATTAATGTAACACGCGATGCACGCGGAGGAGAAAGAAGAGAAAAATATAGGTTGAATATCAACGAGTATACGATTATACGGTATAACGAGACTAATCCGCGATTAGAAACTCTTTGAAACTGTTCTTAAGCCTCTGGCCCCCTACATTCTCAACCCCTCGGTTCTCGCGAGCGATGCTGGGTAGAATTAACACGACGTTTTGATCGATATTTTATAATTATTATTAGAGAAAAGGAAACCCTGTATATCCCTCCTTCGATACGAATTCATTTCGAACTTAGTAGCTTTCTCGATTACAATTTAAAGCCAGCGTCGTCGATGGGGAACCAGCTCAAGCAGCCAAAAATCAAAAGCAATTTTTTACAGAGCGCGCGACAATGATTTACAAAAGTGATATCAAAAAAAAAAAAAAACACAGAGAACAAAAAGAGGAAAGAAAAAAACGAAGGAGAGCAAGAGAGAGAGAGAGAGAGACACAGATTTGGCAGACGACAATCTCGCGAAGGAGCAATGTATATGTTTCTTTCCTTTTTCTTTCTCGTCGTATTTCTTCTTTTTATCGATTCCATCCCTCTCGAACGGAGTTTCTCCCACTCTGTTCACCTTCTGTCCTTCTGTTCCACGTGTTGCGTACGTACGAACTAGGCTCGTCCTTCTCCAACTTGACCTAATTTTATGCACTGCCGGCAATATTTTTATTTCCTTAACGAGATCGAAACCGCGTGAACGACGCGTCGTGTTCCAATGGGACGAGCAGGAAGTGGGATGAGGAGGAATTCGATGTCGAACCGGTGTCCTTTCGTACAAAGAAAGAAAACGATCACGTTCCATGAGAACAGAATCTTGTCTCGTTCTGATTCGTTTATTTCGTTTCTTCTTGCGTATTGTTTTACTACATTGTAACACACCAAGCGTTTCTCGCGAAACGATCCGAGAAAGTCTCCCGAGGTTTTCCTCTGTTCGAGAAGACGCGAACAACGAAGACACGAAGGCTGTATGAATTTCGATGGAACGCGATTTAAGGGGTGGTCGATCTTTGTTGTATCAGAGGAAAACATCGCGCACATATCAGTAGTGATTAATGCATTTTACCTGGCGTCTTTGCTTCAACTTCATCCTCAGATGAATACGAATCATCCCGAAACTCTTCCTTTCGAAACGGCTCAAATACGACAATTAATATTTTCTCCCTCATTCTCTAAGAGTTCTACCAATTTCTCGATTTCTTTCGTTCTTTCCCTCCCAAAAAAATGTATCGAATAGAATATCTCCATTGCTTGCGGGGTGACAGAATATTTCGTCCGAGTTCTCGAAGTTGACCCAAAGACGCCGCCAATTAGCGTGTAACGTAGACTGTCAATTATTACCTGTTACATCGGTTTCATCCGGTATAAAACGTGTCGAGATCATTTCCACAACGGAGACGACAATTCCTCGAGAAGCTTGTGCGCCCACTCGAGGTAGCAGCCACTCGAACTCCATCGAAGGAAAGAGGAGGCACGCGTGTCTCCTCTAGTAGGAGAGAAGGGTACGTCGACGAGAGAATCTTCGCGCGTTCAGACCCCGAATCGTTTCGTTGCATTCACGAGACTTTCTCGAATCCGAAAGATGGAAAGAGAGAGAGAGAGAGAGAGAATAGAGGGATAAAAGGAAGGAGAAGGAAATAAGGGAGAAAGTAAACGAGAGAAAAGATCGCAGAGAGAGAGAGAGAGAGAATATGAGAGGGTGTGTGTGTGTGAGTGAGAAAAATGAAGGGAGAGAGAGAGAGAGCGAGAGTTTTCTGCCATCGTAAAGTCAATTTTATCGTGTACGTATGTATATATGTATCGTTTCGAGTGCATCCAATGAAATGGACGCCGTCGCTGCAGCTTGGGTATTTTTGCTGAGGAAGTTCTGTGAAGGAATTCTCTTCGGTGTACGTGGCCTGAAACTCGAAATAGAAGAGAGACGAGGAACGAATAGAGTAAGAGCTTTTGCGTTGATGAAAAAAAAAAAGAAGCAGAGATTCTACGATCACGTATTTAACGGTGATAGGGAATTATCGATGTTAAATAAGAAATATAAGAGGAGAGAATCGTTGGCAATAAATACGGGTGACGAATGTGTGAGAACGAGAGATAGAGAGAGAGAGAAAAAGGATCGACGGTGCACGGCGTCTGTTGAATCGATACAGTGTACTAAATCAGCGTACTAAATGCGTACAGAGGACAACTTTATTGTACTTTAATCGTATAAGAGAGATTTGTAGAGAGTTTATATTAGGCCAATTGTCACAGCGAGAGTTCTACGATAGCGATGTTTCTTCTTTTTTTTTTCTCCTAAAAAGAACAGTCGTGGCCAACTATTGTCAATTTTATTTGCTTCTAAACGCCGATCCACCCAGTCATTTTTAATCAGCTCGTCAGTTCTCCTGCGTGTGAATTTTATCCAGCTCGAGCTTGCGCGATCGATCAGACTTAGAATCGAGTAAATTTCAAATCGGTAAATCGAAGTGGACAGAAGCAAAGAAACAAAAAGAAAAAGTTGGCCACACAGAGATCGTCTCGCGTTCCAGCGTAATACTCGCGTAACAATTGCCTCGACGAATGAATTCGTGTTCGCGCGGTCACTCTGACCAGAGGATACCTCGAGTGCCGGTTCAGGAATCGTATTCACCTAGTCTACGATCGTTTTACCTCGTTTCAAGATGATTACTCTTCGCCAGAGATCGAAATAACGCGACAACCATTAGTTTTATTTAAGTAGAAATGTGATTTATTTGAATGTTACCAGATTGATTTATGCGTCAAAGGATTCATCGCGTCGAGAAGCCAGTTCCACGATGAAGAATCAAAATTTACAAAAGTTAGCTTAGAAAAGTGATCTTAATCTTCTTTCGTGAATCCTTCGACGAGTGTTACTTCAAGACTATTGCCTGATTACTTTTTATCGTGTCGATTTTTCTTTTTAAACAGATGTTCAAGGTAGAAAAGTGAGGGTACGATGAAAAAATTGTGTGGAAACGGTTGATTTTACCGAGACTATTTTTCTCAGTTTCGTTCGACGATGTCAGACACGCTAGAGCAAGGTGAGAAGATTCTTCTATAGAGATTGTATTACGCGATGTGTTACGATTTGTACGAATAGACGATGAGTATGAACAAAAATCAAATAAAACGTTACAGTGAATGTTAGCTAATCCTGACTAATCTTTTTATCCATTAGAAAATATCGTGAAATCCTCTTCGTTACACTTTCATCGATCACGTTGATCCACAGACTTTAGATATTGCTAATACATAAAAAAAACCAAGGTAGAGCTCTTCTTTATCGGTTTCATACAGTCTGGCCAACAATAGGGAGCGTTATAAGTTTACACGAGGTATTTGCATAGATTACGTTTCAGTCTTGCTTAGCACGAGCGGTTGTTAACATCCGCTATCGACGTGACACGCAAACCGAACCTGGTGTGCAGCTTAACAGTGCGTTGAAAATGAGGCTTGTCACGTTGCACGTGGTCATCTTTCTCTCTGTGATCGTACACGCCAAGTTTGACGAAGGTATACAAATTTTATCGATCGGTGTACGTGCCACGTGATACAGTGAACAGAAAACAGAACTCGATTCCTCTGCAGATAACGCTGTCCGGGTAGAGTTCTATCTATCGTTCGTTGCTGTCATCGATTGCTTACTTAATAATTTTTCTATTGATCGAGAACGACGACTATTTAACGAGCTCTGTAATTCAGATCCCGGTCTCTCTTTCCACTAACGTTTACGGTGAAATATTCTATCTCGTGTCATTATCGTACTTATCTCCGAAACGCACATGTGTCCTCGGTTTACGGTCTGGAAAAATTTCGTCGTGGCTTAAAATTTTATTGCATTATGTAGACAGTAAACATTGGCGTGAACTGGCTGAGGTAGAGTTACAAGAGGCGCTGTCTTACAAATGGAACACGAATAGAGCTAAAAATGTGATCATCTTCGTGGGTGATGGGATGAGCCCTGATACAATAACAGCCAGCAGAATTTATCGAGCTGGAGAGACCAGTCGTCTGGCTTGGGAGCATTTCCCTCACATAGGCATACTCAAGGTTCTTTTTTCATCTTTTAAATTAATTAGAAGGGAGAGAGATTGATAATAGGAGAAAAAAAACTAGGTGGCTTCGAATCGGAAATTTGAGGCTTTCGCGGTCTGAAGAGTAATTATTATTGAGGCTTTCGGGTGTAAGACGTGTTCTTATGAAAACAGTATCCCTTGTGGAAATAGTATTCTTTATGAAAACAGTATTCCTTATAGAATACTATTTCCTTATAGAATTGCTTTTCCATAGAAACACGGCTTACTCCCGAAAACCTGAATACTAATCACAATGTTTCAAATATAAAAAAATATAATTTCCAAAAGAAGTAAATAAGAAAAATTATACTTTCAGAATTTACCAGCAAAAAAAAAAATTAAATAACAATAATCTCTCAAGATATTTTTCATATACAAATTTCCTAAATTTTCGTTCATATTTTGCCAACTTATTTCGATCTTCCGCGCCACAATGATCTCGCAATCACCGGGTCAATTATCAATTTCCACTCTTCAATTAGACCTACAATACGAACAAACAAGTACCAGATTCAGCATCGACGGCAACAGCCTTGTTCTGTGGAGTGAAGACGAATTACGAAGTTGTCGGTGTGAACAAGAACGTAGCATTAAACGATTGCAACGCAAGCTTGAATATCGACTACCACGTGGACTCGGTGCTCACGTGGGCTCAGGCTGCCAATAAAGACACAGGTCAGCAATTATTAATAACGAAGAATAAAATATTATCACGAGGTCGACACTAAAAATGTAATTTACAGGATTCGTGACGACCACAAGGGTGACTCACGCGACTCCCGCACCTTTGTACGCGCACAGCGCGAACAGACGATGGGAAAGCGAGACTACGATGCCGATAGGAGCGAAAGGATGCAAAGATATCGCCAGACAATTGGTGGAAAACCTCCCTGGGAGAAATATCAAGGCAAACAATAATATATATGCCGATTGTTCAGTAGAATCTTTCACATCATTCGCATCTTAAGAGATTGTTAAGTATCTTATCGTTTAACGTTCTTACCACAGGATTCTACTGCATGAAACAACAACACCATTCATATAGGCAATTATCCGATGAAAAGTATTAATTAGAAAGTTTCGCGTGCAGGTGATCATGGGTGGAGGTAGGCAAATGATGAAATCGAACGCTACCGGGACAGAGTTCGATCCTGTGGACGCTTGGGCTGGTCAGAGGAAGGACGGTAGAGATTTAATTGAAGAATGGAAACGCGACAAAGTCTCTAGAAAATTGTCCTTCGATATTGTCCAGAATAACGAAGAATTGTCGCGGGTGAACGTTAAAAAAGTAGACTATCTGTTAGGAATTTTTGCAAATGGCAATATTAACATGGATTGGAACAGAGAAAAAGGTCCAAAGGGACAACCGAGTCTTGAAGAGATGACTGTGACAGCCTTGAAGATTCTTCAAAAGTCGAAACACGGTTATCTCTTAGTGGTATGGTTACTTTGATAGAAAGATAAGGAATTCTTCTTCGATCGAGTGCATCGAATGAAAGTTTTCAGGTAGAAGGAGGACTCATAGATGCTGCTCATCATCGTGGCCACGCAGCTCAAGCGTTGTTAGAAACTGTCAGATTCTCTGATGCTATTAATGCAACTTTGAGGATGGTCAACACTGACGATACACTCGTTATAGTAACCAGCGATCATACTCATTCTATGAGCTTCAATGGGTACAGTGATCGAGGCTCGAACATTCTAGGTACTAAGATCTGATTGACCCTAATGTCAATCTGCACATTTTCTCACTTAAAATACTTTATCTTCCTGATCGAAGATTTTAATATTTAGCCAAATCGTTGTTATTTGGCACTATCTGTGTTTGCTTAAAGTTTAGAATTTTATCAGAAAACTACTAAAATTGGACGATAAAGTAGACAATTGTGGTTATTGACATAAATTAATTAAATTTTCCATTAGACTTGAAGTAACGAATCGTTCACTCGATCAGGCATAGCTCAGAAGTCTAAATGGGACGGGATCCCGTACACCACGCTAACTTACAGCACTGGTGGTCCTAACAATCAAGCGTACACAATGAAAGATAATTCCACTGTGAGAATAGATCCTTCTAAAGAAAATACAACGTCGTTCACGTACAGTCAACAGGCCACCATCGTATCTGACGAGGCTTATCATGGTGGTGGTGACGTAGCAGTCTATGCAATAGGTATACAAAGATGATTCATAAAGGACAGAGACCTATACCTGATAATTATGACTTTATAAAATAAATATCGCTCTTTTCCAGGCCCGTTTACTCATCTGTTTCACAGTGTACACGAGCAGAGTTACGTGGCTCGTGTGGTTGCCTATGCTGCTAAAATGGAACCGAAAGCCTATGGGAATCAAGCTGGAAAACAAGAATACAACATTCTCGTCACTGTTTTCATGTATTGCTGTGTGTTTCTTCTAGTTTTACTCCGTCAATGGTAATTCGTACACGGAGTGCAAGGTGTACAGTGTTAAAAAAAAAAAAGAAAAGAAAAAACAGAAAATACAACGACACGTTGCGTAAGTAACGTAAATATATTCAAAAAAAAAAGATATCAAAGTTACATGCTTTCTTATAGTACTTAAGTAAGTGGGACAGTAAGTGACCATAAAAAAGACACTTGAATCCACCTTCATCACAGATTTGAGCCTAACTCGTTCAGTGGACACACCAAGTCTTTCCTGAAGATCGATATTCATAATTATACAATCTCCTTACGCGTATTATATATATGTATATATACTTTTTTTTTTCTTTCTTTTTTGGTTCTTTTTATATACAACAAGTTAAAACGATTCTCAGTCTTCTGTTGTAGAGGATAAGGTGATTCGCGATCGTTATCCAGGTAACTTGTGAATTTCACTCAACAAGTGTCCGGCATACTATCGTTATTAAGGCGCTCTCGATTGCTGCGTAATTGTCGGGAGTTGCGTTTGTTAAAAAAAAAAAAAAGAGAAAAAGACAGTAATAGAAGAGAAGTGTGGAAAAGAAAACAGTAAATAACAAGAAATAATTACAATAACATCATACACAGATTTTCACAAACCTATTCGTACAAAAGTCGTCACAGTCTATAACGACAATCACGCTTGCATTCTCTCACGTTATTATCAGTCAGATACAACGAAATAATATAATAAAAACAATATACATGTATTGTGGGATTTGCGAACCAGGCGACTCGATACGTCGAGATTCTACGCGATTAACAAACAGGCCATTCGAGATGGTGAATTGACAATCGTAAAAATGATGATCGAAAGGAAACGCAAAGCTGTAAAGCTCTGTATGGGAATATTATCATTCTTAACCCTTTGCACCACGTCACCAGATACTTACATATAAAAACAAAGAAGCGCCTCGTAATTCATTTAGAGACGGTGGCTCGACGAGACAGGCTCAATTACAGTCGTGGCAAAAAACCGCAGCTTCCTCGTACGACGTGCGTGGTCCCGTGCGCCGCTTCCCGTCCCTTAAGGGAGGAAAGAAGCGCCGCGGGCTCGTGTCCTGCGTCACTCAATGTTGTTAAGGCCTCTTTGTCTCACTGTCATTAGGCGTTCCTTGCCTCTTAGGAGGTCTCCAAATTTCTCTCGTGTCCTTGCTTGGCCCCCCTTCACTTATACGTCCCTACATAAATACAGTACAATCCGAAAAGGGGTGGACCCGCATGGAGAAATAATTCAAAAACGTAGAGTAACACTTTTTGTCGTGCGAAGCTTCGTCTCTGAACAAATCTAACGTCGAGGTACGTTTAGACCAAACGAACGAATACTCGTTCGCTCCCCACTTTCAAACATTCTTCGCATATACAGCATTTATGCTCGTTTGGTCTAAACGCGCCTTAAAAGACACCGTTGCAAGCTGCCTGCACTAGATAGCGAAGGATAAACAACGAAATGAGAGTACGAGAAAATTTAAAAGGAGGAGAGAATTATTTTTGCATTCGAACGTTGGAAAACAGGAATGGAAAACCCGATGGATCTTCAATATCGACGAAGCTTCCTACGAGATAACGTTCGACTATATTTTCGAATTATCTTTTCACGCAGATTCCCCATCGGTTCGAAAACACTCTGTGGAGAGAAAAAGAGAAAAGACAGTAATAGAAGAGAAGTGTGGAAAAGAAAACAGTAAATAACAAGAAATAATTACAATAACATCATACACAGATTTTCACAAACCTATTCGTACAAAAGTCGTCACAGTCTATAACGACAATCACGCTTGCATTCTCTCACGTTATTATCAGTCAGATACAACGAAATAATATAATAAAAACAATATACATGTATTGTGGGATTTGCGAACCAGGCGACTCGATACGTCGAGATTCTACGCGATTAACAAACAGGCCATTCGAGATGGTGAATTGACAATCGTAAAAATGATGATCAAAAGGAAACGCAAAGCTGTAAAGCTCTGTATGGGAATATTATCATTCTTAACCCTTTGCACCACGTCACCAGATACTTACATATAAAAACAAAGAAATAAAAACTACATGTCTAAATAACCACGAGCTACTTCTCTTCGTACACCTAAGACGATTTAGCCGAGAGCAAATCTAAGGAAGTAATTAAGGGTGCAAAGGTTCAATCATCCGGGAAGGCTCTCCCTGTACTCAGATCTATTATCTATCCTACGAACAGTCTGACGGTAAAACTGAGACATTTGGAAGAGCATTGAGCGAAGAATCACTGCGCTTTCGTCTTCTTACTTCTGCATTTCGCGTTCGCGCTCTCGTGAAAGAGGACCTTCAACGAGATGTAGGCGAGGAACATCAGAGATGAGACGAGAAAGATGAAACCCGGTGTGTATTTTCCAAACACCATCAAGCTGAACAGCCCAACCATTTGGATGGTCAACAGCAACAGGACGAAATAGACAGCCAAGATCAGGTGCAGAGGATTCTGCTTGGGTTTCTGTTTGCCGAACTCTCGGAACATCAGGGTAGATGTTTTCGCCGGTTTTTCCTCTTGAGATTCCTCCGAACGAATGTCACGGAGCAGAGACTGTCGGATACTGCTGTAGAGGAAGAAGAACCTCACCGTGAGCCCTTCGAGAAACTGGCCTAGACAGAGATGTACTTTACGTACGATCGGATGTGACTTGGAATTGTCGAATGAATAAAGCAGATAGGGTAAGAGATTGAGGTTCTGGCAGCAGTGGCGGATCTTCTGCATAGACTCGTGACGAAATAACATCGGTGGTCCGCTGTAACTTCCATCTGTTCGGGAAAAAGAAACGTGGGATTCGTTGTTTTAATCGTTCTCGTTAACTGTATAATCGGAGGCTGCAACAGAGCAACCCTATTACGTCATTTGTATACAAAGTTATATCGGGTTATCTTGAAGAGTGAACGAAATCAGGCTAGCTCACCTTTCAGTTTGTCGGATACTCGTCCACTCAGGGTTGATTTTCCAACTACATCTTCCGTCTCTAGCATTCCTGACACTTTCGACATCGTGTCCTGTTGGAGAACGTTAGAAACACTTGCTATTACTGTAATCGCTGATCACTCGGAGTATTGTGTTTCTCGAACTCGTCTATGGTATCTTTTGGTCAGGCTGTTGGCTCCGTGTGTTCCTGCCTATTGCTGCTCTCTTCTGAAAAATGACGATCGTTGTTATTCTACCTGTTCGTATTTTCTTCGGGAAATTTTACGGAACAAAGGAAATTTCTCGCGAATTCTAGACAATCTTTGTACCTCTTCTCCCCCACCTTTCGAAGATCACGGACGAACGTTACGATCAGCACTGAGCCTTCGTTTTCTTTTGCGCTGTCAGTGAAGCAAAAAATGGACGAGAAAAAAAAAGGCGTCGCGAACCGATAGCCCGTAGGTGACCCGA